TATTGGCAGGAAATAGTAGTTCTTCAAACCATGTTGCAGAAAGTTGGTATCTTGTATGCAAATGGCTCCTTGGACTTCTTGTATAAAATTTGGACCAAAGTTGGCTTTTTGAAGATTAGCTATTTTAAGAATAAATGTTAAATTTTTATTTTAGTAAAATTATTTTATAAAGTTGAAGATAATGTTTTATCCATAATAATTGTTAAAAAACAGATTATCCAATGCTGAAAATATCTGATGATATAAAGCTACCTTAGCATCACTAACTTGCTTACTCGTTGATACACTGGCTTGAAGTATTTGAGTAAAAATAAATGTCATATTAAAAAAAAAAAAAACAAAGTAGTTGTTTGAAAATGGATATCAAGTATATTACCAGAAAAATTTGAAATTAAAAATATTTTATACCATATACCATCCTTAATGTCTTATAGAATGCCAAAATGTTTATGCATTTAATTAAAACCATTTGTAAAAAGATACTTTACTCCAAATAATTTTTTAAATATTTGTTTTATTATTTTTTTGGATTCTATCATTGTTTTTTCAGTTTGGTTTTACTGCATATTGTTTTTTTAACTAATTGGGATTGTTGTAATGGGGGTGGCAAATATTGGCCATGAGACATCGCCAAATTTAATGTAATAAATAAATTAATTAATTAAACAAAGTGCCATATCTTATTTTTAAAGTTGTTTATTATGAATTTGGTTCACATTATTAAAAAAATTACACTGTTTTGTTTTGTGTTATCATTGATTAGTCTTTATTAAAATTTTTCTTATTATTTATAATCATTTAATGAATAGGTAATTATATTAGAAAATTATTATAAATTGAAACAACAATATAGAAAGTGATGCAAAATATGGGAACACCTGAAGGTGGTCAGGACAGAATCCCAGTAATTTTTTGTGAATTTAATTTATAAATTTTGATTGTTAATTTTAAAAAGTTTTATTGAAACTTTCTTAAATTAGCAATAATTATTTGAATACATTATAAAATTTGTGTTTAACCTTAGTTTTTTAATTTTATTAATTTTATATTTTTATAGGTATATTGCTGTTACAAAGGAAAATATTGTATTTGTATATAAAATTCCAACTTCCAACACAAAAGAATATAATCCATTTATTTTAGATAGAGTATTTTCTGCATCTTGTGATGATACAATGTGTTTAGATTGGTCATCAGATTCACAGTAAGCAAAATATGTTTTGAATATATCTTTACAATATTGATAAATTTTTTTTCTAATATTAAAGTTTTGAAAATAATGATTTTGTGCATGCTTATTTCTAATAAATAAAATATATATATATTTTTTTTATTTAAAACAGAACACCTAAGCATACCAGAAATTAAAAAATTGAATTTATTGTTTGTAACAGATTGCTCAAAGGAGAAGTGGAACCCCACTTTGTTTTTGAGCAATCTGTTACAAACTATAAATTCATTTTTTTAATTTCTGGTATGCTTAGGTGTTCTGTTTTAAATAAAAAAAATATATATATATTCCTCCAAATTATTTAAAATTTCCGAAGTGGTAAGCTGGCAACATTGACTTTGTAATTTTTACTTTTAAGATGTGTTGTTTGACAACAAGGAGAGTAGCGCGGATTAATCAAAATTTATAATTTTTTTTAAAAAATAATTTTTCATCTAATCATTTAAAAACCAAAGATACTGGAAAGATGAATAGGTATTTGATTTTCTAAACGTTTAATTAATTATATTATTGACATTTCTTATATGTATTAATCTTGAAACACTGGGTATGTGTATGCAGTGTAAACACAATACAAGTCGACCCCCCTATAACACTGTTGATTTTTCCGTTTTATATAAATTCCATGTTGTACGAGTCACTTATATTTTACAAATACGTGTGCCGGACTGTGAATGGCTCACGTATTTGTAAAATCTAAGTGACTCGTACAACATGGAATTCATATAAAACGGAAAAATCAACAGTGTCATGTACAATATCTCAGGACTGTTATTGGTCCTATAGATGATTCTTTGACAGAAACAGTTTTGCTATACATATAACTCACTTTTACATTTGTCATACAGTGTTGTGACTCATTTATATTTGCACAATAAGATTGCACTTTATTTCAGCTGTTTATATTTTATGGTGTTGATTTTATATAGGTTTTGTGTTTGTTGCTTTAATTTTGGACACCCATGTGTACTTCTGCTTGTGAATGTGAATTATATCAACTGGAATTCAAAATAATTTATAGTTATAAACAACAACATTACAACCCAATACATTATAAACTACGAGCTTATCTAGCCCGATAAGATACGGCATTGGTCAGCTCGTAGAATAAAAGTTATATTTACTGTTTTAGTTTATTTACTTAGGTGAAATTTTTTGTTGAATTAGCAAGACAATTTATTTATTATTGAAAATTTTATAGGCTTATTTTATTCTTTGTGGTTTTCTTATTTATTATTTGATTAAATAATTGCTGACACAAATTTCAATGTCGTAATGATACTATATTTCAATAAGTAAAAGAGAAAAACAGAAATGCTACAAATTTTTAGGAGTTAAAGCTTTATGGGTAAGACATTTTTTCGGGACTTCTCTGTTTTATCATCAGACCCAAATATTAAAAAAAAAATGGAAATTTGAATGAGAATATCTAGTACTTTGTTTAGTGTTTTAAGAAGTTTGAATGTATAGACAATTTTTTCAGAATTAGAACCAAAACAGCTATGTGTAAAGTTAATGGATTTTTAACACATAAATGTAACAATACAACAAAATAAACGTAAAAAATGCTTTTTATTTTCATATTTATTAAAATTTATTTTGTTGTATTTTAAAACTATTTTATTTTTATGTATGTATTTTTTGTTGTTGTTATCATCATTGTGTTTATCCTTGAGTTTACAAAGTTATGTTTACATTTTAAAACTTAGCTTAAAATGTAGTTGTTTTGATTCAAAAAAAAGTTCTGTTTTATTTTTAAAAAAGTGTCCTTGCATTCAAATTTTCTAAAACACTCAATAAAAAAAAAAATACTAGATATTCTCATTTGAATTTTCATTTTTAAAATATTTGGGTCCAATGATGGAATGGAGAAGTTTTGAAAAATGTTTTTTTCCAATAAAGCTTTGACTTCTAAAATTTGTAACATTTGTTNAGAAGAATCAAGAGATTTTTTTAAAATTAAATTTTTACAGTTTCTTAATATAAAAATTAATTTTAATTTTAACGAGTAATTTTCAAATTGCGTGTAGAAATGTATTCAAAACACTAAAAAAAATATGATTCATTTAATCTAAGTATAAAATTGATATGGATAAAACAATTAATTCACTCGAAAGTATTTTCTGTAACATATCATTATATGACGATTAATCGATTCACGATGGGTGTAATCTCATAAATGTAAGTTATTCGACAATTAATAAAAATACAAAGCATGTAGAAAATTAATACACAATAATTAAGATAAAGATCAATTTTCATTTATAACATTTTACAAATGATATCAAAGAGATGAATTTATTATTAACTTGATTAAATTTCTGATGGAGATTGTGGTTAAAAAAAAACATTTGTACCAACAATCCTCGCAACATTTTAAAACATTATTTAATTAAAAATACAGGTAGTTCTCATACAACATGGTTTTGCTCTAACACAGTTTGAGAATTTGGGAAACCCTCCGTATAAAATTTCACAACTTTTAAGTGCTGCAAATTTGTTAAATTTTTTTTTATTCAAATAATCGTGCATGTCATCTCAAATTTGCCCATGGATTTAGATTATTGAAATTTTTAATTTCTTTTATGGCTTTCGTCAGGTTTTCTTTAATGAAAACTGATGGTGCAATTTTTTTTCTCCTTGTCCTAGCTTTCCTATTAACTAAGTGTCGTCGTCGCTTTCAGACTTTAGCCTTTAAGACTGTTACTGTGTTTTGTTTTTATAGATTAATCTTCGTATTTAGTAATATTTATTTGAACAATTTTAGGTAAGTGTTATTAAGCTTTTTTTAAAATAGGTAAGTAATCATTCATAAAAATGATAAACAAAATATATTGGTACTCAAACTGTTCCTAACTCCAACATTTCGGTATTCAATCACAAATTCTACTGAAAATTGCTTGTACTCAACTGAACAAACACTACTTGCTATAACAAATTTTTGATTAATAAATTTTTATTTTTTATGATAAAAATAAAAAAAAATGAATATGTTGCTGATATGTCTGATCAAGATCAACAAAGAAAAGTTCAGAAGATGACAATATTTTGTAAAGAAAACATTTTCATTTAAGTAAAATTAATATTAACGTGTAATACAATACTTTTAATTGTGATTGTTAGTTAATTATTGATTGGAAATAAATTATTGATTACCTGAATAAACATAGTTTTCTTAGTAACGAAAAACAATAGTATACTTTTGCGAACTTTTGGAACCTAACTTCATGTTTTTGCATTAATCCTTTGTTTCATGTAGCATGAATTTGTATAACATGGTACTTTTTTGGAACATAACTACATACCTTTATTATATTTTTTTGACGAAGGTCTTCCTGAATAGACTAATACAATTGTGTAAAATTTATTGTTTTATTTTAATAAAAATAAATTATTTTTATTAGAAAATAACAGAGTTGCAGAATTTATCTGATAGCACAAATGAGGTTTGGGAGCATATTAAGCAGAAAATTAATATTATGGCAATAACAGCATAAATGTTACAAAAAAAAACGAACTAGAGTCTTGGCTAAGCCTATAGACATTAATTGGAAACACAGGGAAATCATGTGTTTTAAAAGTGAATTTGAAACACTGTTATTTTAATTCTGATAGTTCAGTCACTTGTTATATTGCAAATTGCTGTAAGGACAAGTCTGTCTTCCTCATTGCCTTATCAAACCATAGTTTAGATTTTTATGAAAAATCAAACTAAAACAGAGCTTTAAAAAGAACTGAAAAAGAAAATCTGTTTTTATTTTAAAACACTTTTTGAAACTAATGGATGAAATTTTGTATCAGCTTGAATTAAAATGAATAATTCATTCATTTTCCACATAGAAAATTTGCTAGTTAATGTTAAACTACATTTAAAAACTTTGTCTGAATTGTTTTGATTAAATAACTAAATATTAATAGAAGTTTTATCATTATTTTGTAAACATTTTTTTTTTCATATTTTCAGATTATTATAAAATAAATTTTAAAATACTGGGTGATCGTAAGTAAAGTAGATGTGTTTCAATCTTGATTGTACAAAATCTGTTTGGCCAAACTCAACTAAAATTGGTGAACATTCTATTCAGACCATGGGATTTTGATTTCTGTAATAAAAGTTTTTACTTCAGATTTTTGTCATCAGGGGAATGGATATAATATGCATTGTAAGGAACCAAGTCCAAGCATTATTTTTATTTACTTTTATTTTTGCTTTTTATTATATTTTTGTTTGGAGCTTATGTTTTGTTAGGACGAAGGTTTCCTCACCATTCACCTTAGAAACTTAAAAATAGAAGAGAAACCAACTCACCAACAAGAGAAAAGTGCCGTAGAAAAAAACTCACGCACACTTGTGCTCCCGAGCGGAAAAAAGTAAGTCCGCACCGAGAAAAGGGGGGAGACCCCATCAGCACAACTTAGGGACTCACTAAACCTTAAAGAATAAAAACATCCCGAAAATTGTCAAAAAGGATAATGTAAAAGGTTAGCGAGTATTGTCGGAAAATAGGCTGCCAGACAAACAGCAAAAAGTTTGTTAGCAAATAAGTATGTAAATGAGGGAAGTGATCGCATTCAGAATTGTGACATCACCTCACAGTATAAAGACTGAACCTCAAGTGAAGACGAACGAGGTGAGCTTCTGATAGCAACGAGCTTGGTGATCTTCATAGCAGTGAATGAGAGAGGTATCCGATAGGATCAAATAGTTCCAAGGCGATTTTGAAGTTATCTGATTTGTGGATTGACGAATAGAGAAAGTCTTGAGAGTTGAGGAAATAGGTTCCTAGTATATTGAGGTGACGATTAGGATCTTTAATTCATAAGAATTATTATTGTATATAAGTTAAGTCTTTGAATTTTGTCGAATTCCAAAGGGGAATAGATTTAAGTTAGAAACTAGATTGATTTGAGTTTTGTCGGGTTGATTCTTATTGATTTTTCATTGAATAAATTGTTATTTGATTTTTACTAAATTTTGTAAATAGTTTATTACTGGAAATTAATTAAATATTTGATTTATTATTGACAAACTTGGTCATTATTTAATTCGGTGCACGCTTAAAGTCCAGGCCTGGCATGTTAATGCGAATCTGCGTAAAGTACCCGTTAGGTAACGGCTATTTCCGGCACACAGTCGTGTTGATAATCGTTGTAGAGGGCGGAAAAATAATATAGTACTTTACAGCATATTCACACTCACAAACATGAAATTATGCAAATTCCAGTCAACTGACATCATCAGATTTGCATATAAGTGCAACTGGTTTGACATTTATGTTATGGTTACTTAATGCAATGCTCTATTTATGTGATTGTGCTTCATTTGTAAAGCTTTATTACCAAAATAATAGTAATGTTTCTGTTGTACTTTGGTTATTCCAGATAGCAAAGGGTTTATGGAAAGGTTCTCTGACTCTTACTGGTTTGTGGAAAATGATCTCACACCATGAAATTTGAAAAATTTACAAATGCAACCAAGACAAAGGTGTAGATTAATATCAAATGAGGAACATGTTGCAATGCTGTAGTTGAAGGTAATTCTTCACATAGATCTCATGGTGTTTGGACAATATCCAGTTACCTGGATATTGTCCAAACATCATGAGATCTATGGTAACTGGATATGGACAAAGTGGTGAAGTGTTTCTCCCTACAAGATTTGCCACATTCAATAACTGCTTCCAGAAACATGCCTGCATTTTTCCCATGGAGTGATGAAGCATATTTTTATCTAAATGGTATTGTCAATAAACACAATTGTTATGTTTGGGTTACTGAGACCCCTCATGTTTGACCAGATTTCCTTGCATGGAAAGTCACAGTATGGTTTGGCTTTGCTCTCTCAATCATAATTGGTCCATACTTTTTCGAAGAATCCAAACCAACTGGATCAGCGAGTGACTTGTTCTGACACTGCAGTGAGATACCGAGAAATGCTGCTTAACTTCATTATTCTACAAATCCAGCAGCATGGATGTCTCAACTCAAGTTTATGCAGGATGGAGCAGCCCCTTACATTGAATGTGCAGCAACTCCTATGATAGCATTTTGCTGAAGACCAAATAATTAGTCAAGTATTCTCTATGAAATGGCCAGCCCATTCATCTGACCTCACTCCATGTGACTTTTGGTTATGGAGGTATTTAAAAAGCTTGGTTTACCAAAGACATGTGGATAGTTTAGCAACTGTAAAGGACTAAATAATGCTTCACATGTCACAAATTAGTGGAAATATGCTGCTTTTTGCAGTGGTAAATGCATTTCATAGAATCCAGTTTATGGAACATATGCAAGGGCAACATATTGAACCATATTTGTAATTGAGTCAGAATAAAACTATTGTAAACCATTACCTTTGTTTTCTTTACTATGTCTTATTTATTCCAATACAGCACCATTTTCCTCTGATAGCAAAAGACTGTAAAAACTTTTATTACAGAAATTGAAATCACATTGTCTGAATAGTACTGTACATTAATTTTGGTTGAGTTTGGCTGAACAGATTTTTGTACTGTTGAGCTTGAAGCATCTTTACTCTAATTATGACCACTGATATAAATTCATGGGTGGTCATAATTAAAGTAAATGTGTTTCAAGTTCAATAGTACAAAAATCTGTTCAGCCAAACTCAACCAAAATTAATGTACCGTACCTACTATTCAGACCATGAGATTTAAATTTCTGTAATAAAAGTTTTTACATATTATTATTTTGTATTATTGCAAAATGTTTGTGCATTTCTTAAATAATTTTTCAGAAAAAAAAATTGCAAGGCCATTGTCATAAAGAAATTTTGCATTTTTGGACATTAAAAAGTCCATTAATTAGTTTTCAGTGCTAAAAATAGTCATTGTAGTAACGGTGACAACTTCAGTGTTATTTCTATTAATCAATGTATTACATCAAGTTTATAATTGTATAAGCTATCTTATGATGATGACATGTGCTTAAATTAAAGTGTTGTTTTAGGTTAAAAAACTTTTATTGGGCTACAATTTGAAAAAATTGTAGACCAATAAATTTTCACTGTTATACGTCCATCTGTCTGTCTTTCCATAATCTCAAGAATGGAGTTAGACAGATGAAAGCCAAGACCAGATATGGAAAGTTTAGGGCAGGGGGCCCCAATTAATTAATTAATTAATTAATACAAATTTCTGGTTTGGACCGAAAGTCACATTATTTCAATTAAAAAATTTTTCCCTGAAAGGAGTTAAATAGATGACCTGACACTAAACTGCTGCTAGCAGGAAAGTATGATGTACAGGGGCAAGACACTACTAATTTGAGGTGAAGAACAAATATTTTGAATTAACTAAAATAAAAATATGATTAAAAATTGTAACCCAGCATTGACGATCTCACAATAAAATAATTGTTCATTTTAATTTATATTTAGTGTTGAACAGCAAATCCGTATGATTTAATTTCAATTTTTCAAACTACATAGTAGTAATTATTAATTTGTTTGTAAATTATTGTTTTATTTTGTGTGATAATGATTATGGGAGAAATTTTGATCCTAAAAATATTTTGCACCTTTGGAAAGTAATACCATCATATTTTCTATTTAAATATTTGGTTTTAAGCTTTATTTCCATTTTAATTTTTGTATCATCTAATATGCTATATATTTCATTTATTTAAAAATTACATATAGTTGTTATAACATTTATTCAAAATGACTTGATATTTTCACTCAATGAATGAATATTTTTACAGTCTAAATAAGAATAAATTACATATTTGCACGAACGTACTTATGTATCATTTAAATATTGAAACAAACTGCCAAATTTGATAGTTTATAAAAATTCATTAGAGCAGAGGTTGGCAAACTGTGACTAATTGAAAATGTATATGTAACTTTTGCTATAAAAAATATGGAACTATTCCACTCCACAATGTTCTATTAAGCAAATATGGTTTGTTTTTTCATTTTGTTTCATTTTCTTAAATTTTTATTTAATTTATTTAATAAATATTGTTTTGTTCTCGGCAATAATTGTCCTTTTTCATTCACAAATTGAAATCTCTTGTTTTATATTAGATCAAATACTGGTAAAAGTGAGAAAACTTCATCTGAAGTAGTAAAGGTATCTGCAGAATGGAAGAAGCGTGTCAAGTCAGAATACATGAGACTTAGACAATTAAAACGTTTTAGAAGAAATGATGAAGTAAAAGTGAGCACAAAATATTTTAATTATTAATTAGATTATAATTGTCTTAATATCTAATTTATTTAATATAATTTAACTCCAATTATTTTTTGAAGTTTTATTATATGTGAAATTATGACTGCATTGCTAGAAATTTTTTTTTTTTTTTTGACAAATGACAATATTTTTCTGTAAAAGAAATGACTTAATCCTTTAAAAAATTTTTTGAAGATTATGTTGAATGTATTAGAATACATTCAAACATAATACACAGTACAGTAGAGCCTCGAAAACTCGGCAGTCGATAACCCGGCACTCCGGATAACTCGGCCACACCCTGGCAGGGCAAAAAAATCCTTAGTTAATTAATTTTCATGATAAAGACAGCTTTATGCCTCATAAAGTATCAGAAAAATACTTTATGAGGCATAAAGCTGTCTTTATGAGGTCTGTCTTATCAGGTAAATTACTGTACAGTGTATTCATTAATTTTCATTTTCATGTAGTAAAGGCTCTATGCCTTCATAAAAGACGTACTTTTCCGTTGTTTAAGGGTATTTGGGCAGTTTATTCTCTGTTGTATTCTCAAGTAAACAATACATACAAGTACAGTACAGTATTTTCTGAGTAAACACTCGTACTTATTTTTTTAACCCCATTCCCGATAACCCAGCATTTTCACAAACTCGGCCACCCTTCCTTCGGTCCACATTAGGCCGAGTTTTCGAGGCTCTACTGTACTAAGAATTCTGAATTTAATCAAATAATTTTATTTTTCAGGGAGTTATAAATTAATGAAACTTTGCAGATATATATTGATAGATTGAACATTGTTCTTTCGAAGAGTGTTTTTTCAGCTTGTAACAGGCTTCACCAGGGAGAGTAAAACTTCAAACATTTCTTGTTTTGGTTGTTTCACATAGTAAACATGCATGTAAAAATAATGATATAGCTCTTATATAAATTATCACATAGTTTTTATTTGATCACAGATGGCAAGGCTTTTTTGAGATATCCAGGAAAAATCACAGAAATTTTTTGAATTTTTATGCCACAACATATGTGAGTTTAAAGCTTTAATTTGGTGTGCAGTGGTTTGGGGTTAGGGTTGACTCACCAAAAAAATTTTGGCTCTATTAGGGTTTAGGTGGAAACACCATAGACCATAGTAATGCCCTTTTTCTGAATTGTCTTGATTAAATAACTAAATAGAAATTTTATTATCCTTTTATAAACATTCAGTATTTTTCTTTATTTTTCATATTTTTTCACAGATATATTTTGATTTTAATATTTTTTATTTTATAGTAAATTTTAAAACATTTTGAAAATATGACAGCATTTTTGAAAGTAAATAATAATGAAAAGCCAGTTGAAAAGTTAGAAATAGATTTTGCCTATAAAGATATATATATAGATAGATTATTTTGAACAGATTATTAACTGTGATCTCATGTGATTATGTGATCTCATATCATTAAATTATAATATTTCATAACTAAAGTTGTCAAAATAATATTTTTATTAAAAGTTTAATATAACAATTGATGTATACAATTATTAAATCTAAGAGATTTTATGATATGCATTCAGTAGTCATCAGTAATAACAAACTGTTAATTATTTAAGGCACTTATAAGGCATTTAAATTCTATTATATATATCATAGTTTTTTATTTTATTCTTGAGATATGCTATTAATGGGCTTCTTTCTAAGATTTCTTCTTCCATTTGAAAATACAGTTTTTATATGTTATAGATATTATTTTGAAATATTTGTCATTTGAGTTATAAAAATTTTTATAATAAAGTTTTAAATTGTTTTCAGGCTGCTTTTATTAATAACAGACGTCACATAACAGAAACTGCTATAATTTTAGATAAAATTCATCAGGAGAGTAAAGCAATTGCTCTTTTTCCTGCAGAAGTTCCATCTCATTCACCTTTACTGAAAAAGGTATCATTAACTCTATAAAAACTTTAATTGCCGTACTTCCTCAATTAAATCCCTAGGGAGTTTATTTTTAAGAAGTGTTTCTTATATTTTTATCTGAGGCCAGGTTTTATTACCTTGCAATAGGAGACAAGTGGGTAAAAATTGAAAGAACGATTTAAGTACTTGTACATTTTTGGAACTATCAAAACTGTTTATTGACTGGACTTATGGTTACAGCTGCAACACTTGAAATAATTAGTTAACCCAATTTAGTTGTTACATTGGATTAACAATGTAACAACTGAATTGATGTCATTTGTCCTGTTTTTGATGTCATTTTCAAATCTTGACTATCATCTTTTGGTTCAAACTCATCATCTCCAATTTGAGTTTTCATAATTGTTCTTTGGTTGGTAAGCTTTTGATTTATGAGTTTGATCACGACTTTCCTAGGCTCAATATTTGACAGCATTTCAAAAAACGTTTCAGTGAATCTTGGACTAAAAACTGCTGTCCAATTGTAGGCAATTTAAAGAAATAAAATTTTAGTTAAACTCTTTACTTGTCACTAAACTACATTACCCTATACTTTGCAGTATTTCAACATGTTTCTCATGCTTTTCAACTCAGGCTTTGTTTTTAACAGCATCTTGATTTTCCAGGATTTATTTGAATCTTAGATTTAATCAAGGAAATACGGTAATTAAGTTATAATTGAGAACAATTTTTGGTGAAAAATAATTCTAATTAATATTAATTATTTATTCATTTATTTTATTAGTACAAGGTAAATACTTATTTTTACAGGCAAAACAACAACAATAAAAAACAACATATCATACACAACACAAATTGGCAGTGAACTATTGGCATAACATACAACTAAAAATAAAAATAAAACTAAGTCACATTACCTGTAACAGAAAACAAAAATTTGTAATTACTTAAATCGCACCAAAATCACTGACTAAATTCACTGCCAACATTGCCAACAGTGACTGCCACTTTTATAACATTTTAAATTTCCTGGTGGCTAAACAAACAAGAAAAAAAATATATTAGACATTAGCAGTAAAATTATATATACTAATATAATTCTTATTATTACATAACAAGCTTATAAAATCATAATTTGACTAAAATTATTTTTTAAAATGTAAAATCCTTTTGTTTATAAAAGCTTTACACTCAACTATCCATGATAAGCATCAAAGTAACTTCAAAACCACAAAATTCACTATTTTCCATTCTGAGAGAAGTCATATTTTTTAACATATTATACTGTATATGCTATATCACTAAAACTACACTAAACTGTCACAGTTTACACAGAATTTAAGTATGTTGGCATGCCCCAATCAATTATTAAATTAAAATACTACTAATTAAATTTGTACTCTAAAGCTTTGTTTTTAAAACAAGTTAAATAATTAATTGTTAATTGTCTAATCCAATAATTGATTAGACAATTAACAAATCTATAACTTAGACCATAAATGGTGCCATAAAATATCTCTATTCAGAGAATCAAATGCTGATTGTAAATCTACAAAAAAGACAAAACTTTCCCACGTTTTCTCTTCAAACTATAACTGTCTTCAAACTCCTCAAACTGTTGAATATAAATGTACAATACAAAAATATTATTTCCATAGAGAAAACAGAGTGAAAACTAATCTGAAATCTAAAAAACCTCATAATTATTTAGTCACACAACTAATTGCCTTTATAGAATCTTACAGAATATTTTAAAAATAGTAGGTAGTAATGAAATACCTCTGGATGATTTCTAGAACCTTTTTTATATATTGAGATAATTTTACTTTCATGCCAATATGGTGGCATATCTCTCAATTTGTAGATATTAAATGAAGCTAAATAATTAAATAGTGTAGGACAATTTTTATAGAATTCTAAAGAAATGCCATCAATTCTTGGAGCAGTACTGTCTTTTATTGATGACACAGCTGACTACTTCCAAAGAGATACTTTCTACATTCAAAACATCATCTTGCCAATTATAACACAAATCATACAACAAAAGATCTGGCTTGTAACATTCTGAGCCAAATACTTTCACAAAACATTTTACTCAATCCAGATCTGGCTTTTTGCAGAGATTGAATAAAGATATCCAGAAGCCAAGTCTTTATTCGATCTCTGCAAAAATAATTTCTTCTTTGCTCTACATCACGAGTGATATTTTGCTCCTTGACGAAGTTAGATACTGCAATCTGATCTCCAAATTTTGCCCATCTTATTGCATTCAATGCTTGATTTCTTCTTAAAATACTCATTCTACAGTTCAGGTCAAACCAAGAAAATTTAACATTAGGTTTTTTTATTTCAATCAACAAAAATATCTCTTACAACTAGATTAAAAAATCAGCAGTAAACTCTGAATAGCCCTAAATTCTTGACATTAACTCATTATATTTTTGATTTATTACCAGACTGCAATTATATTTTCAAAATAACTTGGAATCTACTGATCTTGGCTTCACTACTTTCTTAGTTAATTTCTCTTCCAAATTACAGTTTAAATTAGCCTAATCAGAAAATGACTATTAGATACTTTATCCAAAACTGCAAAACTTGAATCCAGTGACATAAGACCTAATCTAATTAGAGCCAAATCAATAACTGAACTATCTAATGAAGTTGCATAAGAATAACACCCTTTAGAGGTAAATGGATCTCTTATTCATAATCGGATAGCCAAAATTGTCACAAAACAAAATTGATTTACCTTGTAGATTTACTATCATATTTTGTGATATTTTCTATAACTAACACCAGTCCAACTCACCCAAAATTTCCAGGACCCAATCTTGTGAGTCCTGTATGTGTGTTAAAGTTGCCCATTAGAATGTCAACGTTATAACTTTGAACAACCATAATAATCTCATTCTGAATATCTTCCCAAATAACAGGCCATAGATACAAAAAACAAAAAATAACCAATCTATTACCTAATTTAATTTTGATCATCAAATAAGACCTGGTCTGTACCAAAACTCTTATAAGTTAACAATTTGCTTAACAAAAGCATCCAACCTCCTATATAATGTCCTCTGTCTGTCTCATGAAAACCAGCTTCCTGAATGATCACAAAATTTTGACAATTGCGAAACTCCATAACAGCAGATTTACCATACCAACAAGTTTCCAAGAGAAAGACAACCTGAAAAGATGAAAAAAATTGCCAAAATAAATAAGATTTATTCAGAATTCTCTCACAGTTCCACGACATTATTAAAACATCAGAACAAGATCATGATCCACCTTGCATTTCCATCCTTTTTGAGGAAGTGAAAACCTTGTCTACATTACCATCGTTTATATTAATCTCTGCCCTTTTTCTTTTTTAGCAAGACTCTTACTATTTTCCTAACTTCTCTAGTCAAAGGAGGTAGGTAGTTCATCCATTATATAAATATCAGAACTTTTCAGTTTAAATGACAAACTTTTGATCTTACATTTATCACTATAATCCAAAAATTTACATAAAAATTAATCTCTTCCTTCCAGTTTTATGATATCCTAATCTGTAACATTTTTCTAAGGAAGCTTTATCAACATTCAACTTATTGCAAGAAAAGTTTAACATAGTATCCTTAATTTGGATCTTATCTTCTTGATCTGACTCGGGGAACCCGAAATAACCTTGTTACTGTATCTTATAAAACATTCATAGCACTCCATACGTAAACTAATTTCTGAGATTTGCCATTGCAAATTCACTTGTTCTGCAGTTGAAGCCAAAACCTTCTCTTGCATCAGCTTCTTCTCCAGTAATGCCAATCTAGATTTGAATCTTAAAATTGTCTCATCCAAATTCTCTAGCAACAAGAATATATTCTCTTTGACATATTAAATCAAAATGATTATCTTACCTTAACAGAAAACAAAAATTCAAAATTAGTTAAATTGCACAAAAATTGCCAACAAAATTCACTGCCAAACTGATGCCACCAAGATTCAAAACACCAATCTCAATTAATGTTAGTTATCATTTAATCATTAAATAGTTTTATGATTTTACTTATCTGTTCTATGAATATATAAAATGAAAATAAAATGTTATATGTATACATTTATTTAATGTACTAATTAATTAATAATATGTAATTTATGAAGAATTTACTAATTTTTATTATAAATTATATCTTAAATTTAATAGAATTGTTATTGAAATTCTAAAAATTCCATATAACCTTAATTTATTTATTTATACCTGGATAGTGTGTTGACTAAACTTTTTCTAGTTGAAATTTTAATTTATTAGAAATTATTTTATCAGGAATTTTTATTATTATGAAATTACTTTGTTAGAATATTTTCAAATCAGGATTTATCTTGCCAGGATTGTATCAAGCTTTCAAGAAGAATCAACAGTTTTCAAATTACATTTGAAAAGCAGAATGTAGTATTATTTTGTTTCTTATATAAATTATATTTTTTTCAATTAAATATTAGAAATGTAAGCATTATTAATACAGATTAGGTTGATTTAATTACATTGTAATAACAGATACATTAGTAAATAAATGATTTTTGATTAATAAGAAACTCAATTAACATTGAGCTTCTTATTAAATAAAGGTAATTTATTTATTAGGTTATTTACTTTTAATAGATTATTTAGTATTTATTTTAGGGAGAATTGATAAAAAGCAAAATAAACTTATTATGATTCATATCTGTCATTTTAATTTATTACATAATTCTTGACAATAAATTATTGACAAAAAGAGAATTATAGTAATGTTGGATTTGTATAATTTTTAAAACTAGATAGGTCACATTGAGAAACTTGAGATGATGTATATCGATGTAGTTAGCCTGAGCGAGCAGTTTGAGTACTAATATGTAACAAAATGAAAGATTATAAGTGATTTATTGTTGAGATGAGAAAAAAGATATGATGAAAAGTACAGATTTTTTATCTGTACTTTTCATCAGAATTTATTTCTTTATACACTTTTCCTTGAAAACTGTATAAAGAAATTGAATTAAAGGAAAGTAAATAAAGTAAACTAAAAAATAAGAAATAAAGAATAATAAAATAAAATTAGTTTGCATTTAAGCGAGAAAAGTCTTGGATAAATTGGAGTCACTCATTAAAAGCAACTGCGTTAGAGATTTTGTCCAATCTCAACTGAGGGACTCTGAAACATAACATCGGTGAATTGATTGACATGCCCTAAAAAACATATATTTGAAATAGTTACATAAAAGTTGAAAATTTTTGATGGGATGACAGGAAGAAGTTGAGTGTAACTGCTGACATGTTGATGAAAGGAAATGACATTTCCTTTAAATAGGTACAGGCCTGGGTATTCAGTTACAGTAGAGGCAAAGAGCTAGGTAACATGGCGTCATCTAGTGGGGATGAGAGACATAAATCCAGTTCCTTTTTCTTTGAACTCGGATAACTTTTCCATAATTTAATTGAAATTTACCAAACTCTGCAAAAATATGAAGTAACTGTCTGGCATTATATTCTAAAAAACAGCACCCAAAAATGTCAAAATACTTTTTTGTTATTTAGAGGTGAAAGTCGACACTTTTGTTTTTTGAATATATCTTTTCTCAGAGTTAATTATATTTTCCGAAAAGTAATTTAAGCACATGCCAGGGTTCTAATGAGCATTTTGACACCAAAATCATCAAAATCTAACGTGGGAATTTTTTTTAAATCGGACAGGAAAGTGCAAAAGTTACCCTAGAAGCCTTGGCATAGCCCAGGCAATTATTTTTATATTAATTGAATAAAATTTTATGAATTTTATATATTTTTTCATGTTATAGTTTGAATTTTTCATTTATTTTTCAGAGTGAAATGAAAATGTCTGATGGTACTTGCCATTCTAAACCAATTTCTATAATATATGCTGTTTCACCTATACCAACAATGTATACCTGGGCTCCTATTCAGCAGAATTTCATGGTATGCTTGCATAGAATTTTTAAGTTATCAAAATTACTCAATTGTAATTAATTAACATAAATTTAGTGACAGAAGAAAAATATTCAGTGCATAGTAATCATTTTACTTGTTATAATTCAATATAATAAACTATTTTAAATTTTATCTTCATCCTTCAGTCAATATGCTCATAAAAGCATTGCAAACAAATAAATATTACAAGATTACAAGAAAACTATTGCAAGTGAATGTTGAGTTATGACTTGAAACTTCACCCTTACCTAATTTGAAGTTGGGAAAGATGATTCCATAAGCTACTAACTTTGCAATTGTTTGTGTAACCTGCTAGGTTAAGGACAAAGGTTGAAAATTTAACAGGTAATACTTCACTTTTTGAATATAGAAGGCTTTACCACTATTTTACTCAATGCTTTGTCAGAACATAATGACTGACAAAGTGTAGCAGTATCTGTTATACCACCCAAAGCCATCAAATATGTTTAGTTTCTTGATGTATACTTCTTTTGCCAATACAACTCTTATTATATCAAGGATTAAACAGGAGGTTAGATCAAAACCTGACAACAGTGAGCTACTAAAGGTTGAATGGTCATGCAAATGCATTTGTGTGTCTATAATAAATTCTGTTCACTCCATTTTAAGAATATGATTTGGTATGCATGATCTGGTTATGACAAAGATAACTTGGATAAAAATTAACTAAAGGTAACTTGGATAACTCATTTGACTTTGAAAATATGCTGGATCTCACTTTTAATACACAAACAGCTGACTGCTTGGTCAAAAATTGTGATGAACCTGCTTTTTTCAAATGTTTTCAACTTGTCTCAAACATTTTATTGATGAAAATAATCTTTATTATCATGATATTTAATTATCTCTTGATCTGGCCTAGCAGGTCCTGCAAACAATTGTGAAGTTAGTGGCTTACAGAATTGTCTTTCCCAATTCCAATTTAGGTAAGGAAAAAGTTTCAAGTTCCAGCTCAACATTCATCTGAAAGGGTTCACTTGTTAATATTTCTACAAAAATTTACAAGTGTAATTTAAAAACTTATTTGTATTTATTATTTATTTATTTACAAGATAAACAAGATATGGAAGCAAAAAAAAAAAAAATAGTTAAGAGAAATTTAAAAAATTATATTAATTTCAGGATTTTATATTTATTCCTTACGGCAAATAATTTTGATGCTAAAAAGGATCAGTTTTTTTCGTGCAGTGAGTATATGTGCTCTAGTCTATTTTTAATCTGCAGAACTGACAAGCCAAAATTATAAAATGATACAGCATTCAGTAGAATAATCTCTCATTTTCAAAAGATAAATGAAAAGGACATCATATCAGGTTCCAAAGGTAAAATTTAGACATTTAAATTTTTTTCTAGAAATTACTGGAAAAAAATGTTCTAGAACATTTGATGTGGGTTTCCCTACACTCCAAAAATTGACAAAGTTCAATATCACCATGACAATGTGCCAGCGCATAAAGCAAAGATGGCCTTAGAGAAGCTGGCCAGCCTGGACTGGGAGGTTCTGCCTCATCCATTGTACAGCCCAGACTTGATGCCAACTGACTACCATCTATTTCATGCTCTACAGAATTACATTGACAATATAATTTTGTTTCAGTCATTCTATGTTCATGGAATTGAAAGTTTGCAGCAAAGGTGGTGAGATGTGATATTGATGATGATTACCTACATGACTTGTAAAACTGTAATTGTTATTGTGGAGTTAATTGATCAATAAAAATTTTTTCAAAATATCTAAATTTCACCTTTACAACCTGATAGATATTATTTAAATTTTTATTGTACTATCAGAAAGGTCAATGTTTACTATTTTGTTTCTTTGATCAAGTACAGTCTTATCACTATGCTGAGGCATTAGTGGCAGGTGAGGGTAGGAGTTATATCTTTGAATAACACCAGCCATATTGTTTCAGTCATTATTATGGCATTGTATATTTGTTATGTAAACCCTTTTCAAAAATGGGGATTTTGTCATTTCAATACATCAATTATTTTGTACTTATTTCTTGATAGGAAAAGCATATCATTATGTTGGAAATTTAAGAGCCACAAGTTCAGCCTTAAAAAAAAAGAAGTGACCAGAGACTCAGTGTTTGAACATCACAGATTACACTGGACAACAAAAAAAATGTTTTTGAATGTTTCCTCTATTTCATGAGTGAAATCTTACTAATTTTGGGGTGAGAAAATTGAATATGACAAAGAAAAATTTTTATTAGTTCTAGTTTCTGTGGTATACAATAGGTGATTTTAACAGCATAAGAGAAAATGATACATTTTAATTACATATGCTAACAACATTGAAAGTGATTTTGAATTTTTTTAAATTACAGTAACATTCTAAGAGTTCTAAATTAATAGAAGAATACCTGGCAGGTGGTTCAGTGTAAAGAGAATCATGTGGTGACTTCATGAGATTGTTTTCTTTTGGCTTGCCTCTTGTAAGTGAGTTCTGCTGCATCCCTACACACAGACCAGCAGTAATCCGCAAGCATTGCTTCATTGCAATGGCCCTGATATCTTTGTTCCAATACAGAAATATCCTGCTGGAATCTTTCCCCATGTTCATCACTGACAGCTCCACAACTAGGAGGGAAAAAGTCTAGGTGGGAATGGAGAAAATGTATTTTGAGGGACATGTTGCATCCGAATTGATGATATTTTTCCAGAAGTATTGTCACCAAGTGTAGTTATTCTCTCTTTTGTTGCCTAAGAATCCACAAATAACTACCTTTAAGGTTTCCCAAGCTTCCTTTTTTTCCCCTCCAAAACTTGGTCAAATGCAGGATCCTTTACAAGTTTTTGAATTTATGGCCCAACAAAAATATCTTCCTTAACCTTTGCATCACTCAATCTAGGAAATTTGTCTCTTAAGTACTTACATGCCTGTCCTTTCTGGTTTAATCTTTTGACAAAACCCAGCTTGATATGAAGAGGTGGAAGAAGAACATCTTTTGGGTCCACGAGAGGCTAGGCAACGATATTTTTCTTGGTAGAGTCAAGATTTCTTGCAGGCCAGTCTGCTTGAATGTAATGTGATTTCATATCCTTACTGTCCCACATACATAAAAAGCAACAGTATTTAGTGTACCCCAGTTGCATTCCTAAGAGTACAGCTATGACATTTAGATCGCCACATATTTTTCACTTGTGCTCAGCATAATTGATTGAGTCAAGGAGGGCTGTCATGTTTGCATAAATATATATTCCATAATAAAGTGTAGTTTCGTTATATGCTGATCTGAGGAGTTTTACAGGAAAAACACCAACAAAAATTTGAAATAATTGAAGATGCACTATTTTGTAATGGAATATTTTTTTACAAATTTTACTATAAAACCTTTTTCATATATTTTTATTATTTAGATTATGTCAATAATTTTAAATTATAATTTAAAACGAATAAAAGTTTTAAATCTTTTGCGGACCATATTTTATCTCAGTGTTTCTCAACGGGGCGATATCGCCCCCATGTGGGCGTTTTTTCATGTTGAGGGGGCGATTAGTAACAATTTATATTTTGGGGGGCGAAAAACAATTTTCTGGGCGATATAGTAAAACATTATACAGTAGAGCCTTGATTATCCGACTCAATTGGGGACTGGGGTTGGTCGGATAATTGAAAAGTCGGATAACCGAAAAGTATGAAAAAATCCATTATTAGTGTAGTATATTATTATATCCCATGTAATTAGTATATTAGTATATCGCTATTAACCTATTTTGCGTTGAATTTTCATCGATGTTAAGCCTAACAAAAATTTTTTAAAATAATAATCGTCGCTATTGTATCGTTAAAAATTAGAAAATTAAGCTTCGTTTAAATACTGGCTCCCTTTCATGGTCGAATGAGTGTTGCCAGCTAAAACACGTAAAAATAATATTAAAGTAGCCAAGACATAGCCAAATATTGTAGCGCCACATCACTAGCGGACATTTGAAATTTGCCAACTAGGATGGTCGGTTAACCGAGGTATTGGTTAATCGAGGCTCTACTGTATTAAGAATAATTAGATATTTTATTCGTTATATCATACAATAATTAAACAAATAACATTATACTAGTCACTAGTCTATTCAATGCATTATGAATTTGGCATTAGTCTTGGTCCTCAGCATTGGAATTTTGAAGTGAAGTGGGACGATAATAGGTAACTGTGTTATTGAAGGGGGCAATACTAGGTTGAAGGGGGCGACAATTCGTTAGAGGTTGAGAAACACTGTTTTAGCTCTTGTGGACCACTGGTTGGGAATTGCTGCTCTAAAGCAAGAGCTAATCGGTCATTTTTATAGTGATTTTTGAATTTAGCAGATGAAAATACATAAGAATATGCTAATTTTGAGCCCGAAACAAAATCATTGTTGTCCAATGTTATTGAACTGGTGAGCAGGCCATTACCAATTCTCCATGATGTTCAGCCACTAAGTATGCTCATGCTAGGGAAATGTCTGATTGGAATTTGAGGAGAATATTACTTAAAAACCTTATATATATTTATTTCTCATCTCATGAACACAGACATCTGGCTGTTCTGATACCATAAAAGTATTGATACCAGTATCATGAGTAGTTTAAAGTATCAATATTAATCAGTATTAGCTTTTGGTATTGAAAATGGAAATCTTGCCAGCCATCACTGCTTATTCTGTAGCTTGATTTTGAAACATTTTGTATAATTGAAACTTTTAATTTTAACAACTAACTAGAATAAAGTATGTCATTTATTATTCACAAATTACTAAAACTGATTTCTAAAATAAACTAAATGCTACCAGTACTGTGTCAGTTGATTTGAAATTTTAATATATTTTCAAGTTTATCAAATAATTGGCAAGTTATTTATAAATAGTAATCTGAATTCAAAGCATACTGTAAAGGATAAAACGGGTGAGATGCCTAGTCAGGAGAGATACTTAGAGGTTGTTTATTCAATTAATACTCAGTAGAAGTCACCATTAAAGTCACTAGTCACTTTAATGGTGTCTGTGCTTAATGTTCTTATGTTTCATTATTCTTCAAATGATTGTTTTGTCGATTTTTTTGTTAAAAATAAGTTTCTGTTTATCATCGTGTGAGATTTGGGTCTATCAGACCCTGCTCATTTTGTCTAGGATGGCAAAATTTAATTGAAATTAAAGTCGACCAGGAAATCATAAGATCTCCAGTCCAAGTCAGGATCCGTCAGTTAGAGTCAGGATGACATCAGTTAGAATAAAAGAATTATTGTGTCTTAACCTGCAATTTATATGATTTATATTTTATCTTTAACCCAAATCTGAGTGGCTAATTTGAGTGGCTAGAAGAGGCTTCTGACAATGGAGTTGGAGATACACACTAGGACTTAAAGTAATAAACTAAATAATAAACTAAAATTAATAGTTTATTACTTTAAGTCCTAGTGTCACTTGACTTGTCTCCTATTACTCAGTTTTTGGACTTTGTGGACAGACAAATTTAACAGACCAGACACATCACGATGTCCGACAACAACTCTTGACATCTATACAAGCTACATGGGATATCATCCTTTCTACTGGATAAACTGTTGGAGCTTTGCTTTTGCTACAGGTTTGTGCAGCCACGATTAAAGCTTGTTGCAGATACCTTGATGAAAACAAGATGTAATTATTATTATGTTAAATTCTTGTGTCTGGTTGCTGTTGACAACTGTAAAAACCTGAACAAGTCATAATAAATGTAATTAAGTTACCACATATTTTGTTGTTGGTCTTAAACTTTTTGTCAGTAGTGTAACTTTTTTGAAATAAAGTGTTAAGACTGTATTGTTTACCAAGCTTGGTTGAAGAAACAAAATGGTAAACTGATTATACAATAAAAGTTTAAAGTATTGAGGGATCTCACTGCATACTGCCAAAATTGTCACTAGGTGATATTTTTATTAAAGTGGCAATAAGAATATAATACCGGTGATAAAAACTGAAGTTCTCTTGTTTCAATGTTTAGCATGAAATTGATTCACAAAGTACACTTCAGGAAAAATAGCAGAATGTTGAGCTCCTGTGCCCCACATATCTAATGATGTCATGACATGTGGCAAATTTGGACAGGAAAGCAGAAAGTGACATTGAGAACCAAAGGCAGTTTTTGTGTAATGCAACCCAACATTTCCAGACTTCTAAGCGATTGACAAAAAATTTGGAGAAATTTTGGGGACATTTTTTTTTACTTTGCTGTTTTTCAGTAAACTAAAGCATAAAAATTTTGATATGACAGAACATGCAAAATACCGTTTAAGCATTGTGATCAAATGTGTTATTTGGAATTGTTCATTAAAAAATTATTCAGAAATGATTCCTATTTCTAAGTGACAGCATAACACACTAAATTTGCTTTTCAGATAAGACTACCAGCACCTGCATTAATTAGTAAGTAAAACTGGTGGCAATAAAATAATTTGAAGTGGCAAAAAAATTTTTAACTAGAAAAACAGTTGGTGATTTTTTCAATTTCCCAGAGCAACTCGAATAACTACCATGTTTTTTCATTTACTTTTGAAACTAGGTGATTATTTTGCTGGACTCTATATCTCAAAGAGTCAAATACAATTGGACTAACGGTATTAAGTTGTACGTGGTATGATCCAAAAGTTCGGGGACTACAGTATGACAACAAAAACATATATTTGAAGTTACAGCATATGAAATTGATTCTATCAAACCTTTCCTACGTATTCAGGTTGATTTCACCCATGTCACGTGATTAAACTGTGAATGCTGTTGTTTTCTTTTGGAGATAGTTACTTTGTTTTGCGACATAATAAAAATGAAGTTTTAAGAACAGCGCTGCAACATTAAGTTTTGTCAGCATTTAGGTAAAACACCTATGGAGACTTTAAAATTGCTAAGAAAGGTGTACGGTGATTTTATCATGGCAAAATCAAAGGTGTACAAATGACATCGGCGTTTTAAAAAGGGCCGAGAATCCATCGCAGACAATGAATGCTCTGGCCGACCTTCGACTTCACGGAATGAGAAAAATGTTGAGTTGGTCTCTCAATATGTTCGCAAAGATCGTCGCCAAACCCTTGAAAAAATTGCTGCGGCTACTCACTTATCAAAGACTAGTTACCAGCATATTTTAACGGAAAATCTTAACATGCACCGAGCAAAGGAAAAGTCATAATGGAGGTGTTTTTTGATTCTCAAAGAATTGTTCATTCAGAATTTATTCCCGAAGGCAGCATTATCTAGACATTTTATGTTGTTTGAGGGAATTCATTCGTCATAAATGGCCACAGATCTGGCAAAGTGGAGACTGGTACCTTCTGCATGACAACTCAAATTAATGTGCTTCCACGTCCCGCCTATTTACCGGACTTAGCCCCGTATGAATTTTATTTGTTTCCATCAATGAAAAAGCATTTGCAGGGATGCTGTTTTGTGTCATCAGATGAGGTGAGAGCAGCATTACAGGATGCCTTATGGGAGGTTTCAAAAAATGGTTTCCAGCAGTGCTTTCAGAAGTTATACGAGCACTGGCAAAAGTGTATCATTGCCCAAGGTGATTGCTTTAAAGGTGGTTATGCATCGGCAATATAAACTTTTTAAGGTAAGGAATTTTAAGCCAAGTCCCTGAACTTTTGGATCGTACTATGTATATTAGAAATTTCTTTTTTTAATGAAATTTTCCATGAAATGTTGAAAGTATATCATTTTGCATTTAAAAAATTGTAATCTTTATATAATAAACTTTTCTAAGCCAGATGAATAAAGTTTTATTTTTTATATTTGTAAATGTTAAAATCAGTTAATATGCCAACTCATTATGGCAAATATCAGTGGCTGGATGACCAGTTTGATACAGTACAATACCTGTACTGTACATCTGTACTGTACTGTACTTGTTAGTTTTAACTTTTTTTGATATGTTCAAAACTGAGAAATGACTTCTGTCAACAAGAAAAGGTTGAAAGGTTCTGGATGAAAGTTTTGATTATTTATGAACTTAGATTGCTTATTTTTATTATTGTATTAGAATTTATGGAAATAATTTCTTTTATTATTATTATTAGGTTGAAGATGAGACTGTTTTGCATAATATCCCATATATGGGAGATGAAGTGTTAGATCAAGACGGTTCATTCATAGAAGAATTATTAAAAAACTATGATGGAAAAGTACATGGAGATAGAGAATGTGGTTTTATTAATGATGAAATCTTTGTTGAACTTGTGCAAGCTTTAAAAGTATATCAAGATTTAGAAAGTAAAGATAATGGAGAGAAAGAAGAAGAAAAATCGGAGAAATTATCATCAGTTAAACGAAGATCACAAAAAACCACTCAGAATAACACGGAAAATTTGGATTCAGGTAGAGAAAATAAATTTATTACATAAAATTATTTAGTTTAGAAATTATAATCTAAATTTTAAATTCTATTTATTTCAAATTTTTATTAGTTAATGATGATAATTTTAAAATTATATTAAAATATTAAATATTTATTATAATGTATATATTATTATGAATAAAATAATTTAGTATCAATATAATATTGATGAAATAATTATGCATTACCATTTCTTGTACTTTTAGTTGTAAATATCTTAACTTCAACATGTTGATTTTTTGAGCTTATTTTTTACATGTATGTTCATCTTGTATTTTTATTTAATATTTCACTAGTGAGTCTGGCGTAACATTTTATTTTAATAAATATTTCATAGAATATAAATCTGTAAGCTTTTGTAAAAACAACAGAATTGAATTGAATTATTCATTGAAAAATTATGCATTACCATTTCTTGTACTTTTAGTTGTAAATATCTTAACTTCAACATGTTGATTTTTTGAGCTTATTTTTTACATGTATGTTCATCTTGTATTTTTATTTAATATTTCACTAGTGAGTCTGGCGTAACATTTTATTTTAATAAATATTTCATAGAATATAAATCTGTAAGCTTTTGTAAAAACAACAGAATTGAATTGAATTATTCATTGAAAACATTTTAAACATTTTTTTCATGTTAGTTTTCTCATTTTAATATTTTTATTTCTAGATTAATTTTTTGATGTAGTATATTATTTACCACAAATTAATTTTTTATATAAATATACTGATAGATGTAATCATAATCCAGCATGATATGATTGGGCTATATGATGAATTATTTTGATGCTTGTTAACACTATTTATTTTCTATCCACAATTTAATACATGATATTTGTAAATATCTGCTTGAAAAATTTTTGAATTTGTAATGAATATTTTTTATTTTTATTTTCTAAAATATTATTTTTCTAAATTAGAAACAAAACTGTAATTGAAATAATTCAGGTAATTTATGAAATCTTATACTACTAACATCTTAAGTCCTTATATAACACTAATCATTCCAAATTCTTCAAACACTTCTCCCCAATAAAGTTAAAAATCTTAATTTCTCAATGATTATTTTTAAGATAATCATATTTAATTTTATAAATTTGAATAAAAAACATAATGAAAAATTTTTGTGTCTAGTTTAAATTGTCAAAAATGCAAATGTATTGAAATGACGAAGAATTAATATAGCAATACTTATAATATAATACTAAATATATGTAAATTATATGTTTTAAATATGAATTTTTATTAATAGGGAGAAAGCAGAAGTTGAGATCCTCATTTCCTTCAGAATGTATTTTTGCTGCAATATCAGCTGTATTTCCTGATAAAGGTTCTCCGGCAGAACTAAAGGAAAAGTAAATACTACTTAAAATTTATTATTATTAATTCAATTTTAAATTAATATATTTTAATAATTGTTGTGATAATTAACAATGAAAACAAATCTGATACAAGTTTGTAATAAAATAATGCAAATAAGAAAGGTTATTATGGAATATTTGAATGTAAATGGAATGCTCGATTTTCAGTTAAAATGATAGAATTCAGTTGATATTAATATGATAGGAATTTGGAATAAATATAATTTTAGATCACTGAAAGTGGGATCATAATTCTGAATGCATTTCGAAATCAATATTTTTAGGCTCCTTAATGAAAGTTTATTATTGATAATTTAGATCAAGAGTTACAGCAGTGATTCCACACCAAGTAAAAATGTCACTGACTGACTATATATACAGGAATCATAGTAGCCAATTTTTTCGTCCTCCAAATGCCTATAGTACTGCCTATAGTTATCTAGTACTTCATCCACTCCTAGAGAAAGAACAATAGGGTTGGTTAGAATGCTCAAATTTTAAACTTGAGTCTTTTTTATTATCAGTGAAGTGCTTGGTGAAACTTCTAGGTCTACAGGTCAAAGTTCATGGGGGTTCACCATAAAGTTATTTTACTTTTATCACTTAATTTTATGCTTGTAAGGATAAAATTGCATGGAAACATATGATTTTTATTCAAAATGTTATCCAGAATAACAAAAAAAGAAAAAGCTCAAATTTATACAAATTAAGACTTATAACGATTTTACTAAATGGGGTATTGAAAACATTTGGTCAGTGGTTTCTCATCACAGAGCACTGACCAAACTGTACAGTATGTCATCATCTTATGTCTTGATGTAATTACCGTCATTAACCAAAAAACAATTGATATCCAAACAAATATAAAAAATTGCACCAAGTAAAAAATTATGACAATTTGGTTGACAGTCAAAGTTTTTTTTTTAAAGTGTTTCTTTGGTAAAGGTAAGCTTGATGCTTGGAAGTGGTACCCACAAGATTTTTATTACGATTTTCTACATTTTGCTTTGAAGTGCCAAGCTTACCTTTACTAAAGAAAAACTTCCATGAAAAGAATTTAACTGTCATCTAAGTTGAATTTTTGTTTGGATTCATTTATTGAACATTTATTCATATGTTGTATTTATAGGTAAAATTTGAAAGCTTGTTAATTTTTTTTTAGTTTAGTGTTTCATGCACTGTTCATCAAAGAATCCCAGAGTGTTGCAACAAACTCATAGTGCCAAGATATTTTAGATTATGCTAATTTGCAAATACATAATTATTTTGAATGAAACAAAGAAACTAATAACATATTTTGATTACTAGCAATTATTATAGTTGTGATTATACATTTATTCACTTATTTATTTTATCATAAAATTGCCATTTTGATAAGATCAGTTTATTGATTATTTAATTTAATAAATAAAATTAATGTGTTTTAAAAGTTTAATATCTAATAGAAAATGTAACATATTGACTAATAATTTGTATTAAAATATTATTATTATTAGTTTTTGGTAATTTTTATAATTAAATTACATATTAAATATAGATACAGGGAATTAGTAGAAAGATTAGATCCAAATGCTATGCCTCCTGAGTGTACTCCAAATATTGATGGACCTAATGCTCAATCTGTAATGAGTGAGCAGAGTATGCATTCATTTCACACACTATTTTGCCGAAGATGTTTCAAGTATGACTGTTTTCTTCATCGTAAGTATTAATGGTTATTAATTATCAGTTAATTATAATATGCTCTTTATCTATTTATTCTTAATATGCTCTCATAATTCATAGAACATAGTATTAACATCATTATATAAATCAAACTTTTTAAACCTGGGATCGACAATTAATAGTTTAAAAAGTGCTACTTATTTTTTAAGTAATCAGATTCTTGCTTTAGTAGTTTAATTTGCTTCAGTGATCCAGTCCTAGCATTTTGCATCACTTTATAACACTGCATTTTTCTTTTTGTAATTTAAAACAATTATAAACAATTTTAGATAATTTTTATATAATTAAAATAGGAATCAGTGAAAGAAAAGATAAAATTGCAAGAAAAATCTCAAGGAGATCAAGACATGAATGAAAGATTAAAACTTTGTAAGCAGTCATCTGTCGATAGTGGAAATGAAGCAAGCAGCGAAGATAGTAATGACAGCATAAGATCTACTGTTAAAAAATCAACTTCTGAGAAGCTTGAGAATCATGGTTTGTTTAATTGAAATTTATAATTCATTTATATTTGAAATTTAATTAGATACATATTGTGACCGAAGGGTCGGCACCTCTTTGGTGCCCTGTCAGGATAACACCACCGCGTCTCGGCGGACACGGAAGCCGTGTTATTTAGGTCACGCGAGCGGTCGCGTAACGGAGCGATCAGAGTCGAGATAGAAGGAGAGACAGCGCACCGGAAGTGATTTACTCAGACGCTTTTTTAACGTAACAACTGTTTAATGGTTAACGATAGGATATACATTAGGGCTGCTATTAGATACATCGCTCGCTTTAGTATATAATAGTATTAAGATATTAAGANACTGTACTTGTATGTGTTGTTTGCTTGAGAATACAACAGAGAATAACCTGCCCAAATACCCTTAAACAAAGGAAAAGTACATACTTTATGAAGACATAGAGCCTTTACTACATGAAAATGAAAATTAATGAATACACTGTGTACAGTAATTTACCAGATAAGACAGACCTCAGAAAAATACTTTATGAGGCATAAAGCTGTCTATGATAAAAATTAATTATCTAAGGATATTTTTGCCCTGCCAGGGTGTGGCCGAGTTATCTGGAGTGCCGGGTTATCGAGTGCCAAGTTTTCGAGGCTCCACTGTATACCTTTGATAAAATTGACAGGACAAATAAACCAATAAAAAGTTTTCCTAAAAGGAGGATTTTTTTATTGAATAGTTTTTTATATTATATATTTGTGAATTTTTATAAGTATCTGGCAATTTTATCAAATAATAAACATTTTTGAAAATAGACAGACACACACTGGAAATCAATTGTCAGACAGTTTTCTCATACATCTGGGAAGGATTAAACTTTGATGTTACTTACTACATAAATGATTGATATTTTGCTTTATTTGTGTTAAGTGGTCATCAATGGTTTTGGTTTATACATTCCATTTGTTTTTGAAGATCCAGTGTCATATAAGCTCTTGTCTCTTAGAGCCTTTATAAGAAATGCTCATATGCATTGCTCGAGTATAATAAACACTTTTAATGAATTGGGAAAAAATGAAGATTACTGTATCACTGCAGTCCATGACTTCCTTTTTGATCTGTCAAGAGGGGTTTATTTCTGAATATAAATGTATAGAACTTGGTAAACTGTATAGCCACTTTAGATCAGCTCAATGTAACAAATTTATAATAATGATTGTAAATAATACTTTTGCTGCTATGTATAAAAGAATTACCAAATGTGGTCATTTCAAGATTGCTTTTGAATAGAACCAACTGTTAACCAACTGTACAGAAATGACAAGAATAATTGATAAAATATCCAGGATAATAAATATATAATTAACATTTACAAGAATAAAAGAAACAATTAAAAAAAAAAGGTCTCTTCATAATTTGTTTTTTTCATATATCTAGGAATGCAACAAAGTTACATGGTGGAGTTGACCTTTATTTTGAGACTCTTCTCTGCTTCATTATGTAAAACTTGTTTAAAAATGTCTCTTTGATGGTAGTACTGTGTAAATGAGAAGGAAAAAATGCTGTTCTGACATCTAAATGAGGACAGCCAAAATTACTTTCTCCTAATGTCTCATGACAAGTAGTCTAATACCAGTTACATCCATATTAGGAAAAAGGTTTCGACTGTATCTGTGCCAGCAAATATACTAAAAAAAGAGATAGGGGGAAAACTTATCATGTGAACAGCAATTAATTGAGGCAAATTCATATAAATTAAAAAATTGAAACTTATGCTTTCTAATGAAAATGTGACAATGCCGAAGGGCCTCCCTATGCTTTGGCACCACGGGACTGAAGGGTCGACAGTGAGTTGGCGAAGACTGCAATGACTAATTCATTAGGACTGACACCACTGTGTCTTTGTGGACAGACACAGAAACCATTTTATTCTCATGCATATTGTGAGATCAGCCAGGACGTATGTCTTACTCTACGCCTCTTACGGGCACTAGTCGGTAAGACCAGTTCTCTAACTTTAATAGGAGAGCGTTATCAAAATTGATCTGAACGGCGAAGTTCAGATGCTCGTCAGGATTCCTTGACACCAGTTAATCAATCTTATTATACGCGGATTAACACACGTTTGCGATCGGATTCGGAATAAATGGAAGAGACATTTTAGTAAAATAAACAAGAGTAAATTTAATAATCCAAAAACAAAACGGATACAAAAATCGATGAACGACAATTAAGCGACAAACTATAGGCTAAGACTTATTCTATGCCAGTGCGCGATCGAGAGAGAGAGCTCACAAAAGTCGTCATAAAAACATACAACCTGATTCAGTTGACGTCGTCTTCTTTTCTGTAGGTAGGAGACACCTTGTAGATAGAGTTCATATTACTTTCGTACGGGAGATCAACACGTGCACAAAATATAAAAGTATCACTTCTACGTGTAGACTCGGGACTTAGTCTATGGGACTCCGTTAAGGGCGTTGGCCATCAGGAGGAGAACTGCGTGGAGTTTTGACGCTACGGATCTGTCGAAGAACTCCCCGAATTCGGACTAAATTCCCTTATATCTCCTGAATTTCGACCAATCATCGGCCAGTAACTCTTTCGTGAGAACGGACGAAAGGGGGATGAATGAGGGGTAACCATTTCCCATCTGAGCGAGATTTTTAACCAGATAAGGGAAAGTCAGAGGATGTTCTCTTCTGTGAAAGGAAGTAGCATCTGTTATCTGGTTTTTCCCACGTCAAAAACACTAGTTTTTCACAAAAATGAAGTAATATTTTGTGTCAATATTTTACCATTATTAATAAAATTCATAAATTAGACCCAGGGCCTTTCGGGTCTCACATTATGTAGCTTAGATTCGGAATGGGGACAGAAGGAGGATTCCGGAGGAAGTGCTCACCATAGGGTTATTCATTTATCAAATACATTTATTCAGGAAGGCTATATATAGGGTTATCAGATATTTATTAATAAGGAGTTCAACGGAATCTTAGCAGCTCAAGAGAGAGAGTTTACAAAACATTCGCACGACGACAAATACCTGTAGTCCAAATAGGTCTTTGATAGAAATCTTCGTTGAGATTAGATTGCAGGAGCTGGTTTGGGTTAAATTCAGGTGGTTGAGATGTAGATCCAGGTCAAGTTTCGATGTTAATCCAGGTGGAGTTCAGGTGCTAATCCAGATTTGGGTTAAGGAACGGTGGTGGTGGGATGCACACACACACACACACACACACACACACACACACAAACAAACAAGAAGATTCACGGCCGATGATGAAAAAGCCTTGAGTGTCATCGTTTCCTCCTTTTTATTCGGGATCCTGGGTTTTTCCTATTACTTCACTCAAAGTTTAGTATTTAGGGCCCAATCAACGAGTTTCACCCATTGAGTCAAAGTGACACATTTGATGTGTCACTCCCAACAAGGAACTAAGTCCTTGGGAAACAGTGTAATCATTGGATTAAGCAGTAATTTTTCGAAGTAACAATTATCTTGGTTTAAACAACAAGAATTTTATAATAATAAATTTTTTCTTCAATGTTTTCCTAATAACAAATTTTTTTTGTTAAATTCGGCTCTCACAAAAATATAAAAATTTTATTTAACCTTTTTAAGAAAATATAAAAATTGGACATTTAATCAATGGAAAAATGTGTAGTTTGATAAAACTAAACTAAATACATATTTGTCAGATGGTTGTGGTGCTGAAAGTTGAAAAAAAGGTTTTTGCGACAGAAAAATGCTAAAATGACTAAAAAAAATAGTAGGAAAGATCAATCTTGAATTTAGGCTGCAATGACTGCTTATGGGCCAGCTTCACTGCATAAATTTATAGGAAATATGACCCAGTACATTTATAAAACTATTCTAGAAGAGCAATGAAAAAAAAATAATTGAAAATATGCTCATTCTTCAAAATGATATTATATTTCAGCAAAGTGGAATCTGAAATATATTGCAAAAATGATGCTGTAAAATTGGCTTAAATTCCAGCCTTTCTGTTTCCTTGATTGACTAGTTTGGAGCTCAGGTCTCAGTTCCATAGCAAATTTGAGCTCATTTAAAAAATTGTTTACATATGAATTAATCATTATCAACATTTGAGTCGTTCACAGGCCAAATTGATTAACTCCATTTGTAAATCCTTAATATAATTGCCATTATTTTTACATTTTATTTCATAACTAAATACATATATTGTTATATTAAAGCAGTGATTCTCAAAAATTAAAAAAAAAAGGTCTCTTCATAATTTGTTTTTTTCATATATCTAGGAATGCAACAAAGTTACATGGTGGAGTTGACCTTTATTTTGAGACTCTTCTCTGCTTCATTATGTAAAACTTGTTTAAAAATGTCTCTTTGATGGTAGTACTGTGTAAATGAGAAGGAAAAAATGCTGTTCTGACATCTAAATGAGGACAGCCAAAATTACTTTCTCCTAATGTCTCATGACAAGTAGTCTAATACCAGTTACATCCATATTAGGAAAAAGGTTTCGACTGTATCTGTGCCAGCAAATATACTAAAAAAAGAGATAGGGGGAAAACTTATCATGTGAACAGCAATTAATTGAGGCAAATTCATATAAATTAAAAAATTGAAACTTATGCTTTCTAATGAAAATGTGACAATGCCGAAGGGCCTCCCTATGCTTTGGCACCACGGGACTGAAGGGTCGACANAAATATATTGAAAAATATAAAAACAATAAAAAATTATACTTCAGATGTTAATTTAGTATCAAAAACGTAAAATATTTGAGTAACCCAAGAAATAGCCGAAGATTGCAGCGCCACAGCACCAGCGAAAATTTAAATTTGCCGACTGGAATGCTTTCGGATAACAGACGTTTCGGATAATCAGCTTTCAGATAAACGACGCTCTACTGTATTTTCTTAACGCCCCCAATTCTCTTTGAGCCTTCTATTGCCCCCCTGAAAGCCTCCAGCGCCCACAAGGGGGCGTTATCGCCCACTTTGAGAAATGCTGTATTAAAGCATAGTTTAATGTAATGATATATAACAATACATTCTACAATATT